CCCAGAACTATTAACCGTGAAACTTGATCGAGCACTGATGACAGGGACGTTGTCTCAGCTGCTAGAGTGCTTGTGACCACCCCAATGGGATGGCTAATGTTCTTGCTAATATCCATGTGTGTCCCCAAGATGATGGCCCCGGCGTGTGACTCTGGCTTATTACGAGACGAGAAGGAAGCGTCAGTTTTTTTGAAAAGGAAACAAAATTTGTCAACTGGTATTGGTTGTACAGTAATGCTCACTGTTTTGTGTCGTTTAGCTTCGTGAAGGATTTAGTTTCCCTCACATAGAGTATCCACAGTGGCTTGATTGATGGTGGATTGTAGAAGACTTAGTTTGGAAGACAAGTCGGGTCGGGTGTTGATTGCTGCGTACTGGAGTGAACCTATGAGGCCTCTTAGCGCCAATCGCTCACTATATCATTCGAGATCGAACCGACTCATGAACAAGAGGTGCTATTCACCATTTTCCCCGAAGTCACAAAAGACTTAAGGAAATTTTAGAGAGTGTGCATGCGTAACTGTTTGAGCAGGTTACGTCAGCTTCAGATCACCAGGATCCTTCGAGCATGTCGAGTTCCGTTCACCCGAGGCCTTTGGCCCAGGACAGGGTCCTGAGGGTGGGCGGGCGGTTGATCCGTGCCATAGGCCACTGCGGCGCTGGAAGCGCCAATAGGAGACAGGGATCTCGTCGTGGGCCCAGGTTGGTTGAAGAAAGAGCTGCTGCCGCTGGAGCGCTTCGTGGGACGGGGCGCGGTGGGAGCACCGTTACCAGTGCGGATTCTTCGGGATTCACACTTTATATATATACACATGTATATATGTATGTGTATATGTACATATATACCCCCAAAACTCTACCTCTTTTCCTATGTTTGTAACACTGTACATACATACATATAATATGTGGTGCTTTGATGCTTTTGATACATTTTCGAAAACCTGAATTTTATCATTGTTTCCAAAATAGAATACTGCAATACTTCTTAATCTTTTAGGATACCTTGTCCCCCACAAGATCACTCGGCCCCCACCCCCGCGCTATCCTCAGGTGAAAGTTGATCACGCGCTAAAAAATACGCCCCCACCGAAGGGGGGTCTAGAAAGGCTGCGCTTGACAGCGCTTTTGGAAAATGATACAAATTGGACCAAACATTGGCGATGCCGGTTATGCCGGCCGGGGCAGATCGCACTATCGACATCGCAGACGCACGCATCACCCGAAGACACTGCATTATTGACATCGTGGGCGCGTTCGACCGAGTGTCCTATCCCAGCGGATGAGGTGATTGATATTGAGTGTGTGGTTTTGGTGGCGAGAGCTTATGAGGGGAAAGAAGGAGTCGGTGGAGTGGTCTTGGTTCTGAGGCCTCAAAAGATCACCCCTGCATGATTGACTACACTGGGCGGAAAACCACCCACAGTCGCCTTGGTAAGGTTACTGGCGTTCACCCAGCAAAAACACAGGGCGCGCTAAGACCAAGCTGGCCGCGTTATCTGGTTGTTTGGCCACTCCTTCATACAGAAAAACTGTTCCAAGACTCCTACGAGTTCCAAGAAGCTCGATTCTTCCGGTCATCGATATTGTACATTACGCGCGAAAGTTTTATACATTCGACTGTAGACGTTTCTTCCCGGCTCTGAGAGCACTAGTTGCTAATGACACACGTTTCCAATGTGTGTCTGGAATGTCTATCTGCATGTATCTCTGTCTGTCTGCGTGGTCTGTCTTACTCCACACATTTTCCCTTTAATCTGAGCGGGCAGCTTCGACCCCGAAGTGGTGTGAATAAGTTGAAGAAATATAGATAATTCTCATCCGTCCCCTTTACCTAAGCCTGGGCGCGCAAACTACAATCTATCGGTTCACTTATCCACCTCTTCCGGCTTGTTTATACAGTCAAAAGCCCTCAGTTCGACCAACGAATGGTAGGGCTAGGGTGCTGCAGGGCCATTCTGGCGGATGGCCGAAGACAATTCTGACGCTGTTGCGCGCACGCGTCAAGAGAGCATCGAAATACGCCGTGAGATCCTCCCTAGGCATTGTCAAGTGATCCGGATTTGGTCTGGTATTGGGCGCGAGCAAATGCTGCTTGAATGAGATAGGCAACCGAAATCTCAAGCAGGATCGAGGCATGATACGCACACCACAAAGAGGCCAGACGCTCGGGACGAGATTCCATAAGGGTGGGTTCAGGGTGAAAAGAAACTTGAAAAATGTGACAACCAAGCCATGTCGCGGTTTCTTGAACATGTACTCTGCTGCGCGCGTTCAAGTGACACGTAACGTTCTATGGTTGTCCGGGGCCTGCGTCGGTCCAGTGGCTTCTGTCAGCCGCTTGAAGGGACGGCGCGGTCGAATCACACTGAAGGGATCGTCTCAGTTACGTTTAACCCAAGCGACAAAGAATCGAAACCTCAATTGAAAGCCAGACACTCGAAACGGCTCTCTACCGAAGTTTGGTTTTTGCGCGATGCGGAGATATCAGTAAGGGTACTGCTGAGAAAGGATCATCCACGATATCCACCTCTTCCGGCTTATCTATTGGGTTTAAGCGTTACGTTTATAATCAACAAACTGCATGTATTCGTTCAAAAACCCGCTTTGGAACACCTATTTCAAAATTGCTGCAATACTACTTCTCTTTTCTCCAAATGGCAATCAGGGGCATGTCACACGTCAGTTCGTGAGGATCGGTTTCCTCAGTTCGACCAACTTCCCCCAGCCTTTGTCGAACGGGTTCATGGCGCAGATGACTTCAAGAGCCACTCTGCGATGAAGGTCATACTTTTGAAGCTGGACTTTGAATGGCGGCCCGAACAGCCTGGCACTCTTCGCCATCCCCTCGACACGAGACGGGGCATCAGAAGAATTAGGTTTGAGATAGATGCCTCCGACGCATGGCGGCGCTGTCGTCCTGCAGGCAATGCGAAACGCCTGACTTGCGGTGTACCACAATGTCCTGCTCTTCAAGATTCGGGAAAAGGGTCCTTGCCTCTGCGTGAGCCCAAGGTTCACTCACCCGAAGATCAAGCCAATTCTGGCACTCCTCGTCGCTCGACAGGCTGCTCTTTCACTGAGCTGAAGACCTTCGCCTTGAGCTTCTGGTTGGGCCCAGGTCGAGGCTGACTCAAGTCTACAGCTAAAGCATCAGGGTCAAAATTTCCGGCTTGGTAAGCGCGAAACATTGCCAGTGCTTTATCACATAATGAAGTATAGGTGTCGACACTGGCTTGGCCCCCGGATCCACGCGATGTCCCAGCAACCTTCTTTCATCCTGAGAGAACGAGAGGCCATTGTTAGGAAACCTGTTTTCAGCGAACGTGTGGAGACTTTGCTAGCGCATCACCTCTGGCAATTTCAACGACAGGTTCGAGATCGGGGTTGAAGAAAACATCATGATCCTTGTTGGACGGGAAACCGTTCCGCTCGCCGCGTGGCACAAAATCGCATGTATCCCTGCAGGTTGCGTTCATGTCCCAGCTCTGGGCTGCTGTGTCCGCCTTTGCCTTGCAATCCTTTACATTTGTCTTCCAGCTCTGGGCTGCTGTGTCCGCCTTTGCCTTGTAATCCTTTACTTTACATTTGTCTCCCAGCACTGGGCTGCTGCGTCCGCCTTTGCCTTGCAATCCTTTACATTTGTCTCCCAGCTCTGGGCTGCTGTGTCGCCTTTGCCTTGCAATCCTTTACATTTGTCTCCCAGCTCTGGGCTGCTGTGTCCGCCTTTGCCTTGCAATCCTTTACATGTGTCTTCCGGCTCTGGGCTGCTGTGTCCGCCTTTGCACATGCGCTGCCATCTGCTGAAGTGTCACATGCGCCGATTCGGACTCCGTCTGCCAGGCTCCCGGAATTGGATTCGAAAGTCCACCAGACTGCTAGCTGCTAGTCAGTCATGAACAGATGCCCTAATTAATTAGCCAAAGTATGTCAAGGACCAAGGAAGTCCCACTTTTCGACCGTTGTCACCGGCCAGTCTGGTGAACGCAGTCCCGATTCGGAACCTGAGCATGAAGAACTGTTCATGGCCAAGGCGTCTTCAAACCACTGATGAGCAATTGCTTCGCATGGAGGCGTGCCGGGCACTGGCCCGTGAGGATTTACAGAATTTTATGGGACTTCTTGACCGTTCATCCCGTCCAGGCAGACCTGAAGATTGCACACTTGACGCCAGCAATGGATTTTTCAGACATGGAGCAACTGAGAGTATCAAACATTTATTGCACGAATGCTCCAAGACACTCCCAGAAGTCGTCCTCATAATCGATCTCTTGGCTGTCGAGTCGAGGTGCTGCAGCCATGACCACAGGGACGCTTGAGGCAATAAAGGTAAGAAAAATTGCTGCAGATTCACATGTTGCGAGCTGCACAGACTTATGTCTCCACAGTCCCTGAGGCCAGCTCACGGGGTCTGCAGTTTTTGTATTGCTTGGTATTCTGGCTTTGTGAGGAAACCAAAATACCAAAACTGCTTTGAATATATGTATTTTGCTAGGTATTAAAACAATCGCAAAACACTACAATAGTCAGCAGATTGAAAATCAGCACGAAACACTGTAAAACACGGTACCGGGGGGAGGGTACTATACATATATATATATAGTGTTTTACTGTTTATTAATTTACATATTTTTGACTCCCGCATCTGGACAGGTCACTTGGCCCTCACTATCTGTCCAATCAAGCAGCTGCGTAAGGAACTGCTAAAAAGGAGGATCAATCCAAAAGCATACAAAAAAAAAGTTTACATGGCTCTTTCACAGGCGGCAATGCGTGTGTAACCTGCAGGTATGTTTCGGGGTATGTTGCAAGGTATGTTTCGGAGGTATGGTTTGCAAATCCACAAGCAACATCTCATTTTTAGCCAGGTATGTTTCGAGGGTATGATTCGGGGGTATGATTTGACCTATGTTTCGACCTATGTTTCGGATGATGTTGAACGTGCGTCCCATCTAGAGTGCTTAGCACTGCATTTATGGAAGCAGCCACATAGTGCGAGGCTCATTTGTTGCATAGGTAGGAATACCTGAGACGGATGCTCCCAGATTGAATCCTCCCGGCTCTCATTGTGATAGTAGACGTTGCCTGATTCATCCTCTGCCTCCAAAGGAGCTCAAATCACTCAAAACGATGCCAAATAGGTGGTTTTCAGACCACTGCACAGAACAGAAAATGACAAGAGTGGAAGCAGGCCAAGTAGTTTCAGTCTTTACTGGCATCCCTCAAGAATTGGATCAAAACGCTCAAGCTTGCGAGTGAAGGATTCTCCACACAACCCCCGCCCGTTCCCAACCACTGAGCATCTTCGTGATACTGGCTTCCCAGCTCTCCTCAACGGCGGTGCTACGATGAGTGTACTAGTACGTCAAACTAAAAACACTATGCCCAAAAACAGCCGCCATAACCACAAGGGTCTACAGCATTAGGGCCCAAAAGGTCTCACGATAGATACTTCAGGGAGTCCTGGAGGAGTGCCCTTTCCAGACCCTAAGTAGTTGAGGGTATCCCAAACATATGAAATGTCGGCAAGTCTTTGCGGTTTCCGGTGGAGCCCTCTGTGGCACCCTTGCTTTCACACCCTTTTCTGCAACGCTTCGGAACCAGACACCAAACACACCAAACGAACACCTTTCCCCAGTCCTGAAGAGAGTTGATGCAGTTGTTTCGAAGCTCAGGTGATAGTTGAAGGCCTGTGTCACATTTATATAAGAGTGAACAGGTTTCGTTCTGGAGGCTAAAGTGGCAACATCGCTTCCGTCCACAAAGACATGTTACGTTTCAACACAAGTTGTAGCTTGATGTGACTCTTCAAACTCCACTCTCAACCCTTCCTGTCAACAGCCACAGGAAATTCTAGCTTTCACAAGATAAGTGGCAAGTCTGGAAGACGCAGGAAACCTCGCGGAGAGTCAGATCCAGCGGGTGCACCTCAAGTGGTACAAAGCAAAATTGAATTGATAGGAAGAAACCAAAGTGAGATGTTCATGCCAAAAGAAAAACAATACACCGGCATAGACTCCAGATAGCAAAAGAGATTTATGGGACCCTCCAGCGGCACACTGTAGCAGCACCAGCATGCAGGGGGAATTGGAAAACATTACAAGACAGGGCAACGGATCAGTCGCTGTGTATTGTGGCTACTGTTTGTTGCGGAAACTCTGTCTCTAATCTGGCAACCTGTCCCAGCTTGCGTTGCTTCTCTCCCCCTCTCTCTCTCTCTCTCTCTCTCCATGGCCTTGTCCCATCCCATTCTGAGAAGCCCAGCCCAGGAAGTCTCGTTGCTGGTTTGATTCCAGAAAAAAGCATTGCCTTCATCATCCCTGCGAAACATCCACGGAGCTGGCAGGCCACTGTCCACCAGAACATCTGAAAGAAATCTGGAGATTGAGGGATCCTCGGGACGGTGCAGTTTAGCACCAAAATGGCAAAAAGAACTGAAGCAGGGTGAAGCTAGAATGTTCCTGACAACAGACTTTATATGTCCATCAATTCAAAATCGATCAAGCCAAGGCTCCTGCTTGGCAGAGACAATGCCCTGATTCTGCAAATATTGTGAGCGTTCATCAGAAGTCCACAATTTTACGTTCCTGGGCCCAGCAAGACAAATCAAAAGCAACTTGACAGCTCCGAATTTTGGGCGTGGGATTGGGATTCCCCAAAATCATTTGAGTCCAACGTTGTCTGCAAAGTGGTTGACGGCTTCACGCGTCGCTGCCGAACTAAATTGGGGGTGCGCAAAGCAGTGGAAATTGAAGACCATCACTCAAAGATGGAAAACTGACATGGGCTTCGAACAACTTGACAGACAGGGAGGATCCGTCAGTAAACGCGGCGCAAAGGATGATGGATTGATATATCGGATAAACTCGGATATATAAACACCTTCAAATCATGATAACATGAGGCTATAAAATCCTCATTTGTGTGCTTGAAAATCAGCTCTAGAAGCGATTTAAATGTCCCAGCAAGGCTCTCAAGCTCCCCAGGACTGAGCTGCGACCAGGTGCCATGATATTGGGTCATGGCTGGTGGAAAAGGAACATGCGCAAAACTGAAAAGAGTTGCAAGAACCACTGGGCTTTCTGCTTTGCAATGGGATTGAGTGACACGTGGTTGTTAGCCTCATCACGCAGACACCAACAAAGTTTGTGCGATGGACAAATGAGCGCAGGCAAAGCTGAATCTGTACAGCGCAAAGGGCTCGTCCAGGCAACAACGGGTGCTAGATTTCCATACCTGGAAGATCCTGGAGATCCGGTCCCTGCATGGTAAAGCAAGTCTGCGGCCCAAACTTGAACGAACAAAAGTTCCTATAGCTTCGCCGAATGGTAGCTGGCCTTGTTTGTAAGTACTTGACCCCTGCCTTTACAAGAGTGCTCTGCTAAGGTTATGGTCATAAGATCCCAAAAGTGGGTGCAGTTTTTGTCAAACCGTCAAACCTCACAATCCGGGTTGGCAAAAAGCAAGCCACAGTCAGGGAGTGCCAAATCACACCGATCTAAAAGGCCAAACAAAGCTCTCTTGTGCAAAGGCCTCAAACATCCTGAAACCCTCTTTTTGCTCGAACCGGCTGCGCTGGCAAAGCAGTCTTGCTCTGCGTGCTCTGCTTCCCCTTCAAGTTCTTCACCTTGATCTTCGCCGCCCTCTGGGCTTTCCATTAGACCCATATCTGCTCCTTGTGACTGAGCAAAAAGCATCATGCACATCACAAAGGTATCACGTGCATTGATGTGCTCCAGGCGGAATGTCACCATCTCATTGCTGGGTCTGACTGCCAGCGTTGCACAAAGGTCATCCAGTGGGGTTCTCAAGCCTTCAAGCTCCATCCCAGGAAAAATGCCGCCAATGTCTTTTAGCGCTAGGCGTCTCACCTCAGGACACATCCACAGCCTATTGAAGCAGGCAAAAGCCATCTCAAATGTGACACTGTATAGACCTTTGCTGCCTGTGCTCCCCGTGTGCCTGTCTCTTTTTCCTCTGATTGTTTGAACCGCTCAGTCCCAACACAGCAAGGCAAGCAGCTTGGTTTGCTCGAGCGATTCTCAAGACCGTCAGCTCTTGGTTGAGGCTCACAGTTGTTGATTTCAGTCGGCCAGTAGGCAACAACACTTGCATGCGCCGGCCAGCACGCATCTCGACGACAAAGTCTCGCACCACAGTTTTGGCCTCACCCAAGAGGTACACCCTTAAGCGAATGACACACGCAGCTCACCAAAGCTTTCGAACTGTATTGAGCTGGAAAGAACACAAATTTTGAACACAAACAACTCTTGCCAGCGCCTGCTGCAACTGGTCCGCCATCGTTCAAAATATAAATGTGTTCATGCTCCCTTGAATGTGCCACTGCTGCGGTTGCAAAGCTGGCATAGTGCGTGGCTTGGTTGCACACAAACACAGTACAACGATCATTGGGGAGATGCTGACTTCCGAAGTTGGGCTTTAAATTACGATCAACTGCTGAGATACTGTATGTGCCGAGATATGTGCCATCTGCTGCAAAACGAAATTTCAACACTTACCTGGCAAATATGGCATCGCGCTATTTTTCTCGCACGGAAGGCACCCTGTGCATCTCCAGGAAACGGCAAATCCTGGAATGTCATTCAAACATGTGCATGTGATGTACAGAACTTGAGAGGCGGGGAACGAAAGCAATGACGACGACACGACGATCGTGAAAACACCTTTAAAATAATCCCCTGAGATGATGTTAGTGATGTCGTGTCCCTCGAGGGGGCGGGGGGGTGGGCCTTAATCAATACCGCTTCAATTCGTTAAGGGAAGCGGAGGGGGGGGGGCTATAGAGATTCACTTCACACGAAGGGGGGGGGGTGGGGGGGGGGGGGGGGGGGGCCGTTTGTAGTGATCTTTCAATTGATCCCTTCGATTTTGACCCATCTAATCGTAAACTAGAACTTCAGCTGACCTCCTTCGGAGATCGCTTTCGTGAATGCGGGTCTACACAGCTTTATCAGGTTGTCTTCAATTGCAAACTCAGCATCTGAGACCGGACATGAGCAAACCCAGCAGGAGCACATTGGAACCATCTTTGTGAAGATCGAAGAAGGGAATTTCGCAGGTTCAACTGCTTGACTTGCCGCCAAAAGCTTGGGAAGGGGCGCGCTGAGATTGAATGCAAGCACCTGAAAAGCTGCGCCCCTCCACATACAAAAACAGTGTTTTTGCCTGGTGATCTTTTTTGTGTTGGTCTACACTGGATAAAAGTACCTGTGAGCTATAGCGGTTCGATCAGTTGTTTGGGAAAAACATTGCTCTGGCCTTGCATTGGCACTGCACTTTCAAGATCGTTGCTGCGATTGTTGTAGCGTTGTTGCTTGTGCTGCAGCAGGGTGCACTGAAGGGATTATCTGGCTGACATTGCATGTTTCCCAGTGATTGCGTGTTTACATTGAATGTACACTTCTGGACTTGCGCACTGAATCATCCTTAGTTCTCCTGATTTGCGCGCGTTATCCCTGGATGACGTGTCTAGGCTTCGACACCCGCCTCCGGACTCTTTCTTCAGTGAGTGAGTTCTACGTAACAAATGTTGATGTCCATTCTGTAAAGCACGTCGTGAAGCATTCTCTCATATGTATGGGTGGCACATACTACTGGCACACATATTGCATAGTTTTTAGGTTGTCTTAAACACAAAGAACGCTGCCAACTGCCACCATTATGTTGCATTCCCATCTGCCCCAGTTTCATCATGATTCCTTCCACCAACTGTGAAAATCCGATTCGCTGTTGAATCAACCGGAGGGTTCCACGGTTCATCGCCAAGTTCGGACTCATGGACAAGTTTCTGATCAACCCATGTTTCCTTACTGTGCCAACTATCGGTCTTATCTTCTTCTCCTGCTATCGGCGCATATTCTTCTGCGTCTTCATCCTTCGTTTCAAGCAAAATCAGATTTTGCCTCCCCGGCCCTATTTCAAGAATGTGAGCGCAGCACACAAATAAGCTCTCGACGATCCTTCTGGCAAAGCGATGAAGTTCCTGAAATCAGTTGTATGTACGTCGACATCGAAGAGAACTCCGCGATACGATAGCAGGCGGCTATCAAGCAAATAGACTATACACTGCAAAGTTGAACAAATGCAGTCATAATATTTAAATCGCATTGGGGTGTGTGAAAAGTTTGTGCAGTTAGAATGCTGCGTGGTAAGCCAGAGGAACAACAAGCGGCCTTTGTCCTCACAACCCTGATGTCTTTGTAGCAACTAAGAGCAGCAGCTCTCTCCCAGCATCCTCATGTCCAACCTTCTTTCAAATCAAAATTCACGCAGTGCTTGGACAAAAGGTAATAGTGTTCGATAAAGCGCTCCATGGCCATAAACGATAGAGTGCTCAAGGGCCAAAATGTTACTGAATCCAAAACGTTTACCAATGTTAAACTGACATATCAATATTCTATCTGCATCCCTGCACCCTATCTCACCTGGTTTTCAAACATCTGAACCACCCTTTGACATGCACATTTTGGAGTTTAAATGAACAATGTTCTATGTGCAAGGCCACTATTCTAAGGGTTCCTCAGTCTAAGAAGTTTTTCAAAAGCTGTGCCATTGCCTTGAAAATCTTCAGTTCAAATCTCCAAAGCACATTCTGCATATGGCAAATCTCTATGCGCTGGAATTCCTGGTGTTGCCGATGGCTTCACCACCACATCTGGACCAGGGATTCGTTCTATCGCACTTGATCCCAAATCCTACTCCTCCTGCTTACAACCCTTGAACGCGTAGCCACAGCCATTCCAGCCCTCGTACTTGTCTAGTGGGAACATTTCGTGTGTCCATCCTCGCTCACAAAACTTTCAGACATTCAGGCAGCTGCATTCTCTTCACTTCCTCTCGAAGCTGGTCGGCTTTGAGAAACTTATCAACTTGGGTCGGTCATGCCGCACACCTCTTGAGCGGTACGCACACTCACTGGCAAGGCTGGCAAATCCTTTCCCATACGCCACGGCCACGGACGTCGAATGGATTCGAATGGCATCCTTGTCACAAGTCAGTAAGAGGGACCTGGCCCGACTCCTCCGCCTGAGCTTGAAGCCGTGCCTGACAAACGCCAAGCGGATGTCTGCTTGTACGCTCAGTCCTGTGCGCTGTTGCATGAGAGTGTCCAGGACGTCTTCGTCCTACTACTTGGGGCTCATTGGCTCTTGGCTCCATGACGTCTAGACAGACCCATTTTCACTCCATCTCCACTTTGGTTTCGTTGGTCCACTGCGAAAGCAATTCCACCAGGTTCCCAGGCGGCGCCCTTCACACATGGCGCAGCCACTTGCAATCCCAGCCTGAAAGGACCTGTTAAACGTCAGGAGCTCACGTCAAGGCTATCTTCCACGCAAGGCTTGCGGGAAGGCGCAGGTACGCGATCTGTCATTCAGTGACCGACACACGCTTTCACATCGCCCTTTCTTTATAGTTTGCTGCATCATGCGTGCACCCTTTGGGTTCACAAGGAGTCTTTCGGTGTTTCACTGTATACTCTGTATACAGCAGGCGGATCAAGGGCGTTGGGCTTGGCAAGCCAATCGTCAGGGTATGATCTTATGACTGAAGGCGCCTACCCCCGCCAAGTCCTGGTCTGGGTTAGCTGCAAGCATGGGCTGCCAGTGACCTCACCTCACATTGCACTTTGGCAATGGACAGGGAAGGAGGGTGGTTTTGAGCGATACAAATGCAAGATAGACCGGGTACGATACGGAGGGACCAAAAGCCGGTTCGCAGAATAAAATGACAGCGATCTGCAGCTGCCTGCAGACCCCGAACATCACATCCCTTCAGCCAAGAGAGTCACAGTTTGTCAAAGACACAGCCTTGTCTCGTGAAATGATAATTTCACCCCACCAACATTGACAGCGTGAACTGCTGGAACCATTGACCCACTAGCAACGGGAATATTGACAACATCACAACCAGGACCCAGTGACTTGACAGGTCTGAGCAATGGACACGGCTGAGCGTGACCGCGTTCGGCTTCCCAAATACGAAAGCTAAAACCAGAAGAATCGAACCCAAACGACAACAGGTACAATACTGTCCCACTCACTGCGCCTCATGCTTTCACAGCTTCTCGCAAGACGGCCAGGAACTTTCCCTGGTGCCGTGACCAGTCACTTTTTTGACAACGCTGCATCATTACACCCCCCATGTACTGTAGGCATACATTGCACGTCTCAGACAAGCTCTCCCCACCTGCTGATCACTGCTGTGCAAGTTCAAGCGAAATGCACAGAACGCGACCTGCAACCGATCCCTTCGGTTTACCTGATTGAAAAACTAGGGAGGGGAATCTGTTGGGGTAGTTTTTTGATAAACCAGCTACTTACCTTGACTCCCTGGACTGCTGGCAAAACAACAAACCCAAACACCAAAGCCAATGACACGGCAGACCTGAAAACGACCAGCGTATTTGACCCTTCCTGGCCTTGCCACCCCCTTCTGGACAAGATCTTTTCGTTCAATGTTTGTACTTTGCAGTGTGTAGGTGTCTTGAATGTCATATATGGCGGGCGACGCCCTTGCCCCACTTGAAGCCTTGGAAATCTTCAAGCATGATGCCACTGAAGTTTTAATAGAGCCAATTATCCCCAATTGGCTACAATCCGAGCAATCATAGCCACGGTGCTACAAGTAGCAATGGCAGCAAAAGTAAGAGTTGTATTTTCCACGTCGCCGTCATTTTCATTGTCGTCGTTGTTGTTGCTGTGGCGGTTGCTGTCCTGGCAATGGAAGCAATAGTAGCAGTAGCAAGAGTAGCAGTGGCAATAGTAGCAGCTGCGCTTGCAATAGCAATAGCGTTGGCATTGCAGTATGGTCGTAGTTGGTGCTGGAGGATGCATTAGGCACCCTGCAGTGGTTGCAGGTACCAAAATGCGATCTGCAAGGCTAGGCAGGAGGCATTGCTCTTATTGTTGGAACCCTATTGGTAAGCTACCTTTTGGCTGACACTTGCGACGCGAACCAGCATCACCAGCATCATGGATGGGGTGGGGCGGGCTAGCGCTCGAAACCGCTTGCAGATCTGCACCCGCGCGCGAGTTTCATCATCTTCATGGGTGGGGTGTGGGGCGAGTTGGGGTACGCTAACGCTCCACCCCGCCGGGTGAGGGGTGAATTCCCCAAAGTGGCAATACTAGAGTCTGTATACTGGACTTGTGAACGATGACACCGACACCGAAGAGTACGAGCGAGCGGCGCAGCGAGCTCTCTTGCTATGGCAGTGGTACAGCGCGTTCAGGGCTGAACCTTGCTCCAAAAGTACAAGTGAATTACGCTCTACAACAGAAGGACTGCTGCGAGCCGGACACAAGCGTCGCGACGCTGCTTTCCATTT